GAGGTGGAGCATGTTGATACTGACTTACGTACTCTAGATGAAGTCGAAGAAGACGTAGAAGATGTTGTCGAAGATGAGGAGATTGATAATGACTACCTGTTAGCAAGAGACGGGTCGAGGAGAGTCATCAAGCCACCTCAGAGACTTAGGTATGCAGATTTTATAACTTATGCCTTAATCTTTGCAAGTGAGGTTCTAGACGAAGAACCTAGAAACTATAAGGAAGTTATGAGGAGTTGAAAGAAGACTGAATGGCTGAAGGCCATGGATGATGTGATGAAATCTCTTCATGATAACAACATCTGGGAACTGATCAAGAAACCTGCTGGAGCTAGGTTAGTCAGCTGTAAATGGATTTTCAAAGTTAAAGAATGGACTGAAGGAGTGGCGTCGAAGAGATACAATGCAAGATTGGTCGCTAGGGGGTTCACTCAGAAAGAAGGTGTCGACTTTAATGATGTGTTCTCTCCTGTTGTGAAGCAAAAATCCATTTGAATATAGCTTTCCACGGTGGCCCAGTTTGACTTTGAACTGGAACAAATGGATGTGAAGACTGTGTTCTTGTATGGTAATCTAGATGAAACCATCCTTATGAGGCAACCTAAAGGGTATGTCGAAAAAGGGAAGGAAGCTTATGTGTGCAAGCGGAATAGATCTTTATATGGTCTAAAATAATCTCCTCGACAGTGGAATAGGAGATTCAACAAGTTCATGGCACGCATAAGTTTCATTAGAAGTCAGTTCGACCACTGTGTTTACTTCAGATTTCGACCTGGTAATTCATTTGTTATTCTGTTGCTTTATGTGGATGATATTCTAATAGCAAGCAACAATGTCGAAGATGTAATTAGGGTAAAGGCTAAACTCAATAAGGAGTTCGACATGAATTATTTGGGAGTTGCATCCAGGATTCTTGGGACTGACATCTGAAGAGATAAAAAGCAGTCAAAATTATGCTTGTCTCAAGAGGCATACCTACGAAAGATTATCGAAAAGTTTGGTATGTCGAATTCAAAGCTTGTTATGACTCCGACAAACCCTCAATTCAAGCTGAGTATAGATCAATGTCCCATTACTGATGTCGTAAGAGCTTATATAAATAGCATTCCAAATGCTAATATAGTGGGTTCTTTGATGTATGTTATGGTCTGCACTAGACCCGACATAGCATATGCTGTAAGTCTTGTAAGCAGGTACTTGGCGAATCCTGGAAAGGCTCACTAGCAAGCATTGAAGTGGATTCTAAGGTACATAAATGGGTCTATGAATAGAGTCCTAATTTATGGTGGAGCCTTGGGTGAAGATAGTAAAAGCAGTAATTGAAGGATATATCAACTCTAATTATGCAGGTTGTATGGATTCCAGAAAATCTATTTCTAAATATGTGTTCACTATGTTTGGGATAGCAACCAGTTGGAAAGCTACACTTCAGAAGGTCGTTGCCTTATCAACCACTGAAGTGGAATATATCACTCTAATTGAAGCTGTGAAGGAAGCATTGTGGCTTGAAGGTTTTGCAAAGGAGCTGAAACTTCAAGGTCGAGTTATTACTGTTAAATGTGATAGTCAAAGTGCAATACACTTGTCGAAGAATTCAACCTATCATGAGCAACTAAGCACATTGATGTGAGGCTGCATTTCATCAGAGGGGAAATCAAGCGTGGAGAAGTCAAAGTGCTGAAGGTTTTGACAGATCATAATGTTGTTGATATGATCACCAAGATGTTGCCCAGTTGCAAGTTTTTCCACTATATGCAATTGATAAAGCTGCATGAAGAAAGCTAGTTTCTTGATGTTATAGAGTTATATCCAAGGTGGAGATTTGTGAGATATTGGATCGAACTCTAGTATGGTCGATGTCTGTTCGCGAGTAATGTGTGTTGTAGTCAAAGTTTATTCTAACATGCATTAGTAAATATTGCTAGGTTCGTTAGCATGTTTAATTGGGCCTTGCTTGTAAGCTCAATTGTTTAAGTTAGTGCTTACCCTAAGTTAGCTTGTAATGGGTAATTGTTAAAAAGCCCATTAGGTTAGTGCAATATTTCTCTTATAAATAGCATGTTAATCTCTCATATTTGGATAAGGAAAAATAGGAAGATAAAATTCTAATTCAAGTGAGAGAGATTATTTGTTATTCTTGTATACTTGTAATTTTGTTCTAAGAGAAAGGAAAGAATAACAGTTTGTAACCAATCCTTGTTGTTTCTTCTTGTTGTTTTCCCTTGTTTTCTCTGTTAACCCTAACCCTTGTGTGTTTCTTGATCATAAAGAAACCGTTTATATTTTATTTCAAGACATCCGATTCACAACACTTTTTATCATCAACAAATATACAGAAACTTTCCAAAATATGGCTACTTTGACCATGGGTGATACACATAGAGGAACCATCAACAACATTGCGGAATTTGTAAGTTCTTATTTCACAATAATATAAGTTTTTCGTTACCTTAATAATTTTTTGTAAAATAAATATTCTTATATATGTTTTTCTTTTACTTAATAATTTTTGTTAATGGTCGAGTTAACCAAGAAATGCAATATGTGAGCAACTTTTGGGGGGCGATTTGTTTAAAGAAATTGCAAGGGGTCAAGGTATTAATCTAAAGTACCTTAGAAAATATTATACTGATATGATATTAACCGAAGATTCGACAGAGAATGAAAGAATAATTAAAACTAGGTGTTATATTGTGATACTATTTGGCAACTTTTTGTTTCCTGAAACTACTGGTAATACTGTAAATATTATGTATTTACCTTTGTTAAGCGACATAACTAAAATAGGAACATATAGTTGAGGTTCAGTCATTTTCTCCCATCTATATAGTCCTTTGTGTAAAAACGCATATAAGAATATTTGTTTGTTTTATTCTTACGATTTTCTGCTCTAAGCATGGGGTTGGTTGAGTATGTCGTCACTAGCCCCCGTTGACAAGAGCGACTTTACATTCCCCTACGCGACAAAGTAAGTTTATAACATTATTTCAATTTACTTACTTTACACTATAAATAACTATAAATAATTTATTTTCATATTTTTCGGTTTTCGTGATCCGTTCGAGGGATGAACTAAAACAAATATCCTAAACACGCTATAACGGTCTATCAAAATCTTTTGGATCACCTTGGACCAGATGATGTATTACAACTAAACTACTCATGATCATTATCTCGTTAATTTAGTTTTAACATTAACAATTTACTAATCTAATAATATATTTTTCCTCTATAGTTTATCTGGAGGCCATATCTGAGTCCCGACCATGAGATTAACCCCGAGGATGTTGCAGTTTAGACTGCAGAAACAACGATGATCAGGTTCACTACTATGAAGATGCACCATAGCGACCATGTCAAATTGTAGTTTAGCATGCAACAACAAATTCAAGATCCCCCGACGTGTTAGGGACAATGACATCAACTTAGAGTCGATGCCCAATAGAATTATACTGATTGGAGAGACTTCGCTAAGGACACATGTCGTCACTTGAAGCATTGTCATCAACGTTCCATAAACAAACCTATCATGCCATACAAATATAAACCAACTCAAAATTATATGAATTGGTATAGATCGATTACAACAACTTAGTTTGTATCTAACTCGAGGTATTTGGTCGACCCACGCCTACGAGCTTCATCATCATACGCTTAACAACCAACCTCACAACATTACCAAACCCTAAAAAATTGTAAATCCACCCACACCCAACAACCAACCCCACAATATTACCATACCACATACACCCAACAACCAACCAAATATGACTACGAAACCACATACACCCAAATCTCCGAGAAATTTTTGCCACACACTCAAACATAAAACCAAGAACATGACCCATACCACCAATAACCATGTGTCGCCACCAATTTTTACCATAACACTAATGAGGCATATGATACCACCACATCCTGCCATAACACTCAACTAATGTACACCCAAATATCACACCACCAAAGCACCTTATCATCCCACAACCAAAGCACCCAACCAACACATGTCTTTAAAACACCACAACAATCATTGCTTCGTTTCAAAACGAATCAATGTCCCAATTCCACCAAGCATCCCACCAACATGTAACCCAACCAATATGATCCAACTACGACAATATGGGCTCAAAACTAGATTATAGCAGCGCACATAACTTGAAAGAGATGTTAGATTTCATTGATGACTAATGTTCCAATGACATCGCTACAAACACCTCAGGTGAATTTAAGGAAGCACCAAACACCTTAGATGAATCATGGAAGACAACAACCACCTCAGGGAATCACATACATCCTTAAAGACGAAGGACACCGCCGAGTTATGAAACTGGTGGCCGTTATAATCAAATGCGTCGTTAAAATTTGTTTATAAAATTTTCTGGCTCGTAATTCTATTTAAATTTAATAATATTAGTATTTTTTTCAATTGTTTTACTTTTAAATAATTATAATTTTTGTTTTAAAAAACAATACACTTATGCGTTAGAATGAATGACACATGCTCTAAAGAAAACAATAAATGTGTTAGAGATATATGCGTTAATGGACTTGAGACTTTTTTTTAGTGCAAAAAAAATTTGAAAATGAGATATTTTAGTAAATAATTTGAAATATTAACTATTTAAAAATTTAATTTAAAAAATATAATTATTTATAAGAAAAGTTCAAAATTTCCGCAGCAAGGCATTTCCAACTTCAAGTTGTTAAAGGGAAACCCAATTTAGAAAAGAAAAAATAAAATAAAATAAAGTTTTGCATGTGTTGTGTTATTATTAGTGCGGGGAGTCTATAAAAGGCCAACAATGGTTCTCATATGCGAAACTGGTGGTGACTCTCCCACAGCAACAATACATCACATCATAAACATTATGTTATGAAGTATCAAAATCTTCTCACTCTTTCACTTCACTTTCAATTTCCCTTTCATCTTCCTTTCAAGTTCTAACCAATTAATTTAACCCTCCACCCTAAAATACCAAACACTCTTCAAACTTTTCTCAATGGAATCACTTAAACCAAACGCGATTCGAACACACTTCGCCGCCATTTCCAAAACCATTCGCATTTTTGAACTCTGCGTCCTCCTTCTCCTTCTTTCCTGGTCTCTCACGCGCCTCCCTCTCGCCCTTTCCATCTCCGCTGACTTCCTCCGTAAACTCGCTGCTAACCCTCTCTTCATCTTCGCCGTCTCTAATGCCATCATCGCCGCTCTCCTCGCACAATCCGGCCGTTTCTCTGGCGGAAACACCGACGAGCATGCTGGTGCCGGTAAACTCTACCGTGAGTTTATGAATAGCCGTATCGCGGCTTCAGATCGCGACCTACAGCCTCCGTCCGCAGCCGTTGAGTCTCTCTTGGTTGCGGCTGTTGCGACAGAGATGAAGTGCCAGGACAAGGAGGTAATCTCTGAAACCGTTCCGGCTCCGGTTGTTCTAGATCGAGAAGGTGAAGCAGGTTCCGAGTTCACGAATTTCCGTCGGAGTCAGTCGGAGAAATGGAAAGGTGAGGCTGGAAAGATGCAACGTCGGAAACAACTCCGGCGATCGGAAACAGAGAAGCTTCGCGAAACTGCGAAAGAAAATTTATATCCGCAGGATAAGTTAAGCAACGAAGAGTTTCAACGCGCCATTGACGCGTTCATCGCAAAGCAAATGAGGTTTCTGCGAGAAGATTCTTCCGCCATTGTTGTTCGCAAAACTTCGTAGCGTGTAGTTTTTGAAATTGAAAAAAAAAGCGCTGAAAAATCAAAATCCATTTGAAAAAAAATAATAATCTAGAAAGAGTTATGATGGTACTATCTGTTTTCTCTCTGATTCGTCTGCAGTGTACAGTGTTTGTAATATTTTTAGCATTTATTAAAATTCCCATTTTTATAGTTTTTTCACGTGAGTGAAATTATGTGTACTAATTAAATTGTGTAACAATTTGGTGGAATTATTATTAATATTATTACTATATTATTATTGAAAAAAGAATTGGAATAAATGGTGATTTTATTCTGTAGGCATTGTTGTAAAAGAGAAAGTGTATGTGGAAGTTATTTGTGGGTTCGATTGTGGTAAAAGTAGGGAAGGGAATGGAATTGTATTCTAAATATAATGTGAATGGTCGATGCTTAATTTGCTTAAAATTAGAATCATGAAATGGTATCAATTACGTGGTTGGATAACATAATAATTTATGTTAAGCTGGACAACTTTTCAGTGATTGAATTAGGAATTTCATGGATAGACAAAAAGAAGTTGTAATTAATCCCAACAATTTTTTTATTATTGTTATGTTGACGTGATTCCCACCTAAGTGGATTTTAAACATGTTTATCAATTCTAATATGACTCACAAGACAAAAAAAAATTGATATTTAGGTATCTTTTATTTTTTTTAAATGTAAAATCAAATATAATTTTTGTAATTTCCAAATCTTTAATAATTATATTACTATTATTTTATCACTTATTTAAAAAAAAATCAAAGTATATTATTGTGTGATATTCTAACATGATTGCTATGCATTGTATTGCCAAATCATAGCTAACTACAAAATAGATGTAGCTTGTTCCTAATAAGTTGTGACCACACTCCTCTTTTTTAATTAAAGCTGCACCATTTACAATCACATTATGTACATACATGTCTTGTCAATTTCACATTTTACATTTCTTTGTTGTTTGATTTAAAATTTCTACAGCAAAAGGTTTCTCTTGTGGATAATTAAACTCAATCATTATGAAATTATATGTTGCTCATTATAAAATAGAAAGAGTAGTGTCTTCTATTGTCCTTTACTATGATATTTAACTTAGAAAAAGACACTTTTATTACTTTCTGTAGACATTATAATCTTGAAGATATTAGATTAAAATTTGTTTATGTTATAAAAGCTAGCCAAAACTTTCCGTCCTTCCAAAATGCTCTTTTTCTTCCTTTTTATTGGGATAGTCATGATTACTTCCACAAACAAATACTATTGGAGTAGTTCAGTGTTGGGTTTGTTTCTCACGGGATATACAAAGTTTTCATATTCTAAAGCAACTTTTAATTACTTTCATGAAAAGGGGTAGAAAAAAAAATTCACAAGAAGGGGCATGCTCAACTTAAAAGCAAAATTTTTGGTTAGTGCGTGCTTGGTTGTGGAAGTGAATAAATTGATTTTATAGTTAATTTTCAAATTTAATGTAACATTAGCCATACGGTTAATTTGATACTGTATTGAACTAATTACAATAAAAAATAACAAAGAAACACATCACTTTTCCGTTGTCACCATTGGTCAAGCCATTGGATGAACGTGCATCTAAATCTCTTAAATCGACGTTCTAATGTTTTCACTAAATGTTAAGGAGTTATTATTATAAAGAAGAGAGTAAAAAAATTGAAAAATGATTTATGAAAGTCTCTCATGAATAAGAAAATTAATTGCTACCAAATATTACGATGGATGAGAAATATTTTTAAGAACCGCACAATTCTTAAAAGGAGGTGCTAGTAATTAAACTTTTTGAGAAGAACGTAGACTATCATTTGATGAAGGATAGGTTAAAGAAGATGTGGAAACTTACTAGAGGTTTTAAGATCATAGACGTTAACAATGGTTTCTTTATGGTCAAGTGTGAACTGCTCGTAGATAAAGAGAAATTGTGTCAAAAGGTCCGTGAATGTTATTTGACCATTATTTGGCAATGGCTCGACCGACTCCAGACTTTACATTTCCTCTCGCAAAAGTGGAGAAGACTCTGATTTGGATTCGATTTTCAGGGCTTAACTTATTGTATTATGATGAAAGTGTCCTACTTGGTTTAACATTTGTTGTGGGTACTCCTGTTAAGATAGATACTAACACCCTAAATGTAGAGAAGGGAAATTTTGCGAGAATTTGCGTGAAGATTGATTTGACCTTGCAGGTTATCAGAAAGGTCATTGTTAATGGCCATTAGTACAACGTCCAATATGAAGGTCTTCGTACTATTTGCTCCAGTTATGGTTGTTATGGACATCACATCTGTGATTGCAAGAAAACACTAGAGAGTCTGGAGTAGTCGGTCGTTCCTACGGTGGCGCAACCAAGAGGTCCATCGAAAAATGATGATGTCCAAGAGTAAAGACTAACACAACTACATCAGGAAGTTGGCGAGGATGGCACCAAAGTTGTAGCAAAAGAATCTTAAGAAATAAATGCAGTTCATGGTGATTAGTTGGTGGTGTAGAGGAAAAACACAATAAAAGAGTCAGTTATGGTCAAGGAAAATCTTTACTCAATAATGTGCCTAGAGATTTGGGGGAGTTCTAAAATCAAGGGAATTAATGTTTCCTTAAAAGGAATAAACGATGACAACAAAACTGCTAGACCCGATCAACTTGACGCGGTTTTCAAGAAACGACAATTTGATAAGAGTGGACCCATCCCTAACGCATGACAGCGAACATGTAGAGGGGTTCTATGCGCCAAGGCAAAGTCTTCCATTTTGGAACCACTTCATGCTAATATTGGGTATTTGCATAAAATAGAGCCAACTTTTAATTCCTGCCCAACACAAAAGGGTGTGCCTAGCACTACTAAAAACCACCTTCGTCGTTCGCATAATAGATTTGTGTTTGGAGACCATCACACGATACAATATTTTTCATTTTAAATGGACAACAAATCAGGAAGATGGAAATAACCAATGTGTTATGGATTAAGATGCTACTCATGAAGAGGAAGATGTTTGTGAAAATCCCATTGAATGGGAGCCGACTACGTAAATTGTTTCGTGTCCGAGCCTTACTTTATCACCTCCATCAACTTGACTAGTTATGTTAGGTTTCAAAGAAGTCATCATGCTCTACTGAAATATCTGGGGAGCCTATAATAATAAGGTTAAAAGACACACAATGAGTTTGATTAGAAAACACTCTCCAACATTTTTAATCATTATGTGGACACACATTAGTTTTCATAAGACCAAATACTTCTAGGATAGAGTTGAATATGTGAATGTTCACTATGTTGATGCTCGTGATCAATCCGAGGACATTTGGGTGTTAAAGTAGAATGGTGGTAACATTGTAACTGCCATGCATGATGTCTTTATGAATACAATTACTATCAAACTATCATTGGGAACTTCCTATTGGTATGTAATTGGAATCTATGCTAGTCCATTGTACACTTCTTGTCTTGACCTGTGGCTTCACCTCATTTCCCGTAGGAATACTATTGATGGTCCTTGGATGTTGATTGGAGACTTTAACGATATCATTCATCCGAGTGAACAAAAAGGAGGTAATTTTAATCATTCCATGGATCTTTTTGTTGAATGTCATAATAAATGTAATTTAGTAAAATTAGACATGACTTATGGGAAACTCACTTGGAATATTGGTAATCAAATGGTCTATTGCAAGTTGGATAGACCCCCATCGATGTAGCTTGGCATGTGGCTTTACCTAATCCATATGTTGAGGTGTTGTGTAAATTTTATTATGATCAAAATCCAATTCTCTTTAGTTGTGACCTTCCTCTTCAATACCACAGGCCACATCCTTTTAGGTTTGAGGCATTCACTCGAAATACTCCCATATAGTCCACATTGCTTGGGGGGAAATTCCCATATAGAATTTTAACTTGTCTCCAAAATTTGCAACACGATTCTATCCTTTTTAATAAGAAAACTTTTGGAAATATCAGTAAATATAAGCATAACATTGAGAAAAGACTCAAGATTATCCAACGCTCTTTGGAGAGAATAGATTTGGCATGACTAGTTTATCTATTACACGAGCTTCAATAGGAGTATGATGAGATGCTTGCGTAAGAGGAGATTCATTGGTATCAAAATGCTAGAGATGATTGGATTAGATTGGGAGATTGAAACACCATATTTTTTTATACCAAAACAGTAACCAGAAGGAAGAGAAATAAAGTCAATGGCATTCATCTTCCTAATGGTGTTTGGTGCAATGATGATATTATTCTCAAGGAAGAAATACGTAATTTTTTTAAAGGTCTTTTTACCGTATATCTCATATACTCCTGGCTAGTACGGGTGACTCAACTATGACTCTGATCATTAATGAAGAAGCTTAACACTCTTTGATTAAACATGTGATGAAGGAAGAAGTTATTTATGTGTTGAATCAAATGCACCCTTTTGGTGTGAAACCTAGAGGAGAAAATTAGTTAGAGGTTAGCATCTTGACAACATAAATTATTAAACATGGTTGGTTGTTTGACTCTGGTTAGATCTATCCTGAACTCCATCCAAAAGTATTATATGCAAGTGGCTTGGCTACCTCGGCTAACTTGTGATTTTATTGATAAGATGGCTAGAAATTTTTCATCGAAAGGTAATTCAAACTCTAATATTCATCTCTTTAGCTGGAATAAGATCACTAAGCCTAACAAGTTAGGTGGTCTTGGGATCCGAAAAGCAAGATAGGCCAGTACTTCTATGTGGGTAAGCTAGTTTGGGGTCTCCATCAGGATTGTGATTTCATATGGGTCCAAATTTTTAAGCATAAGTACATTAGTGAGGAAATGTTCCTTTATACGAAAAAGAAATCAGAATCAGTTACTTGAAATGCAATTATGAAAGTTCTCTCTGCTCTTAAAGATAGATTTGAATTTATATTAGGGGATGAGAACTCATCTTTCTGGTTTTCCAATTGGACTGGGATAGGGAAATTAGTGGAGCAGGTTTTCTATGTGGATATCCATGATTTGGAAACACGGGTGAATGATATTTACTCAGGTGAGAATTAGAACTTTAATTCATTATATACTAATATTCCTCCGGTTGTTTGTGACTGCCGGAAAATGTTTACCATTTGTTTGAATTCTATGGTGCATGATCTGTAAACTTGGAAATGCAATTTAGACGGTACTTATACTTCCCGAGATGGCTAAAACTATCTCAACAGACTTAATTTGTTTAAAATACAATATAAAATAACTCTTAAAAGTGGGTGTGAAATATTCTTACTCTTGAGAAGGTGAAATTCTTCCTTTAGACAACTTTGCATAAGTCCTTTCCTGCGAGATCAATGTTGTGTCATTGTGATATTCTTCAAACAAATTCTTGTCCAAGATGCAATCATGACACTGAGATGGGGTTGGTAATGATGCAGTGTACCATTGTTTTGCAGAGTTTCTTGTTTGAATCATCACTCTCTTGCTAACTGATGCTAGTAGGACTTTATTTTACATATAACTTAATGTTTCTTTTCTTTTTTCTTTTCCCATTTGTACAAAAAAAAACACAACGCAACAAGCTCACATCAAATAACAACATAAATAAGAACTTAAATACCTAAATCCCTTTCTACTTAGGAGGACAAAATAGATTTCAAACTGTTAGAACCAACATCAACAAAGTTAAAACCTTAAAAAAAAAAAGCATCAAAATGACAAACTAAACTCAAAATTAATGGTGGCAAAATAGGTTTGTCTAGCCAAATATATATTTTTTACTTGTATTTTTTGTGTGGAACAGATTAAGATTTTATATCTATATGCTCTAATATGCCCATATGCCCGCCTCCTCCCATCCTCTCCCCCATTTTTTGGGGGCTTTTGAAGACACGTGTACTAATATAAGTTTTTATAATTTTTAACTTTTAAATATACATTGTTTACATACCCAATCTACTTTCACTTTTTATGAGGTGGGTTAAAGTTTTAGTTAACACCATACATAATTTCTATCCCACTCTGCTTTGCCTTTACAAATTTTATAAGACAGAAATTAAACAAGACAGACATATCTATTTGCTATTTCTTTTCGAAATTAAGACAAAATTCTCTATCTACTAATTATTTAAAAAGAATATACATTGTTAAATAAATCTAAATAAATAAATGGGTTCACCTTGATCTTCTTAAAAACTCTTTCCAAAAAAAAAACTCTTCTCACATTTATTATTGAAGAATTAGATAACATTAAACAAATTTAGCAACTTCTCTTATCCATTGGTTGATTTTTTTTTTTTTACTAACTACTCAATTATTCACTAAAGTTGAAAACCTTCTTCTATAGTCTTTCTTAAGAAAGCAAAATTGGAATGTGTTAACTTTGAGAGAAATAATTGAGGAAAATTAATGTTGGGTTTACTAACTTTTTATAATTTTCTACATTATTAAGGATCCACTTGTGTGTAAAGCTCTATATTCTCAAACCCACTTATTTTTATTAATCCACATAAAAACAGGAACAAGTCATGATTATGTTCTCAGGTTCAGACAAAAGCGTGTTCATATTTTATATCCACGTACTAAATTTATCAATCAATATTGAAGAAAAAAAGACAATTTCTAAGACATTATTATAATAAAAAATAATAATTTGACTGGTTGTAATAAAAACTACAATATCACCATTTTTATGATAATGAAATAAAATTTCACAGAACAATATCTCAATACCCAAATCTGCAAGCATATTATATTTTGAAGTTGATACCTATTACCCCCACAGTGACCAATCATAGGAAGAGAAATCATGAACTCAAACTGCCAGATATATACATCAAGAACAAAGAAAGCTATAAGACAAACCAAAACACTGTCTCATCTTCCAGCAGTGTCACAGATCAACCAGTTATGGAAAACTTTGGAACATGATATTATTAAATCACATTCTGAGTCCCAATGTGTATTTTTTTGTTCAAAGGAAAAGGAAATATTCAATTACTGTTTCTTCTGGTAAAAACAGTGACCAGAATGGAAAAATATTGAATGTATAAATACATAAGAAAACAAAAGAAAATAGGACAATGTGTCAATTAAAGTTTACAGAAAAAGAAAAACTGTCATGTTTATAGCAGCACGAGTGTTGCAGAAAAAATAAGATTTATTAAGTAAGTAAAAGTACTCTCATCTCATGATAGTATTTTATTTTTTCTCATTAAAAAAAAGTGTTTGGTTGATACATCAAATTGATCTTTGAAACCTAAAAAA